TCAGCAGGTTATGACTCTACAGACGATAAAAACATCATTTTACTGAAATAGAAAAGTTTAGCTGCTGGTTGCTAATTGGGACATTTCATTCTTCACAGAAGCAGTTCGACATCTTAGCATTTTTACTTCAACAAACACCACATGTTGGAAAACCTCATTGAGCTTTAAGAATATTCTTATTATTAGTTAGTGAAACAATAATGGATTTCTCAGCCTGTTCTCTGAGGGAAGTGAAAGCTCAACTTACTGTTAGAAATATTCTCTTGTTATTCATATTTTTCACTTGTTCACTCCATCATGATCACTTTGTTGTGGTATAGTTTATTTTCTGAGGATCTATTTTATCCTCAATATCCCAAACTGTGAGTTAGACGATGTTTTACCAAATAAAACCAGAATGAAGCTCAGAGTTTTTAACCCCATGTGTTGTAGTGGTACTTGAACGCCACACCCTGATTTTAGTGCATTTCAAAAAAAGACATTCACATGAAATCAGCACAGCGTCGGAGCTGCAGCGAGGAGCTTCCAGAGGTGTGACTGGACCGCTGAAGTCCTGTGGATGAGTTCACGCTGCCCTCGGAGGAGCTTCAGTTTGTGACGCTGAGCTCTGAGGGAGAATGCAGCAGAGCCAGCTACATTACATAAGCACTGATGAAGGAGATAGCGAGCAAATACTTTGCTTCGCTTCATGCAGTCTACTTCTGCTGCTCGCCACTCGCCTCAGGCTGAGCCAGCGAGTCGGCGCAAACGCACAAAGCGTTCATGTGACCTTTACGTGTTCAGCTTTGTGTGTTGATGCTGCACATCACACGTGGCATCGTGGTGCGATCCCAACGCTCCTGATTTACTTACGACTTCGCGAAAGCTTCACTAAAGAGAAACCGAACACGCAGTCATGAGACCTGGTCTCGGAGCGAATGCACGCCTGCAGCAGACTACCAAGGCCTGAGATGCACCGCAGCTTGTGTCGTGTTGAGTCATGCGCCCTCCTGCAGCGAGCAGCCTGGTACACGAGTGTTTCTGAGCGACTCGCAGCGAGTTGCTGTTGTGTTGATGTTTATCTCTGTTCCCATATCTCTCCCAGACCCTGAGAAGACTCCAGGCTGCAGCTGCTTCAGCAGGAAAGAGATAAAAGACTCCTTCGTATAGACGTTTGCAGTTTCTCCCACTTCCCTCCTGATCTCTTGGAATACGTTCATTTGTGGTTTTAGAGCCTATGTTTGTATTTATGTCCCTGTTTCACTTTGTTTCTCTGCTGTATAGCCTCCAGCTCACCTACACTCAGCTCCGTGAGGCTTTCATTGACTTCTACTGCAGAATTAACGCTCTCTGAAGCAGAAGCAGTTGCATTTTGCAGCATCTGTATTTATGAGAGTCCGATCTGACTGAGACAGGTTTTATTTACTCTGGCAACAAGTCTCTCAATTAATCAACAGATGGTGTTTCCATGCCTCAAAAAAAAATGTACAAATTGTAATTGGTCCAATGTTTGCGTTTCTCACACATCAACGCGATTTACTGGCATAAAAAGTCGAATGCAGACAAACAATGTGTAAATCAGTACAGACATGACTCCATAATCCGGCCCTTAACAATCCTAAACCTTGCTATCCGACAGGTTTTTAGGACAAACCAACAGAACCCATAAAAACAGCCTTAACATATAGCGACAGCCTTGGATTCTGACTCCGACATGACATTTTATGTCACCAATCAGGATAACGGCGTATTATCTGACTGAACAATCCCACAGATTGGCTACGTTCACACTGCAGGACTTGATGCTCAATGAGGATTTCTTTGTGAGTTCCTTCATATTTCCAGTTAAATGCGACTTGTATGTGATCTGCTGTGTGAACTTCATACGACCCAAAAGTGTCCCGCATGCGCAGAAGAGGACACGACGACACGCAGCGAGCGTGCTCAGTGTTTACAGAAGTAAACATGGATGGTAACGGTGGAGCGTATCTGCCACTCCCCCGCCGCCACCGATGGTGGAAACAGAAGTGTAAGCGCTAACTAAACTAGCATCAGCAGCCAAGTACTGCCTGTGTGTTCTGGACACTTCCACCCCGTCAGAGCGCTGCCCCGGGGTGGAAGTGTCCCCCGACCGGGACGAATGTTCTGATATTCATCACTAATTGGGCCTGAATATCCAGAGAGCAGAAAGTGCTATTGGGACCAGCCCTACTACTTATTATAACAACTCTGAACAATAATTAACAACTAATGAACCTTCCAGCATCAAGTCCTCCTTGTATCTGGACCTCCGTCTGGACAATCCGACAGCCTTGATATCCGACATAGAAGAAGGTTTTACATTTAGTGCCGGATCATCGAGTCACGGCTGTGTTTACGCGGCACTGATCCGTAGCAGCAGCACCAATTCTTGTCTGTCAGCAGCGAAGGCAACGTGAAGCGTTTATAAACCTCCTAAAGCAGCCTGAGCCCACGTTTCAGCGAGACGACGTAGGAAACACAGAGGCCACGATAGAAAGCACAGAAACAGCTGTTGGTGGGTTCCTCTGCAGTGGGTCATGATCTAGAGAATAAAACTATTGTGGCTCTGATAACTTTCTTAGATCCTGTTGTGTTGTTGGTGCACGAGGCTGAGCAGGAACACTGAGCTGCTGTTTGCATCCCCACCAGCAGCGGCTTCATTTAGTCATGAGCACAGTCTGTCCTCGAGCCGTCTGTGTGCCGCAGCAAAGTTTGGCAAACGTCATGGTGGCCGATCAGAAAGCAAGCGCACACAACACCGATGGACGGTTCTGATCTGCTGGTCGGGGAGATCAGAAACCGGAAAGTGTTTTGGTTGTAGTTCTGCACGTATATAGAAGCTGTGTTGCTCACTGGTAGGAACAGATGCTGCGATGTGAGCCAACATGGCCAACAAGAACGAAGGAGACACACTTCAGGCAAAGACGTGGAGACAGAGCAGCACAAAGGGAAGGAAACCACAGCAAAACCAAATAAAACCTGGAATAAAAGAGGCCTGGACGGGGTGGAAGGAAGACAAGGAATAGAAGAGAGAGAGCCCACTGAGAGAGAAAGAGGGAGAGAGACCTTCACAGAGACTGGGTGTGAGAGAGAGAGAGAGAGAGAGAGAGACCTTCACAGAGACTGAGAGAGAGAGAGAGAGACCTTCACAGAGACTGGGAGAGAGAGAGAGAGACCTTCACAGAGACTGGGAGAGAGAGAGAGAGACCTTCACAGAGACTGGGAGAGAGAGAGAGAGAGAGAGAGAGACCTTCATAGAGACTGGGAGAGAGAGAGAGACCTTCACGGAGACTGGGAGAGAGAGAGAGAGAGAGAGAGAGAGAGAGAGAGAGAGAGACTGGGAGAGAGAGAGAGAGAGACCGTCACAGAAACTGGGAGAGAGAGAGAGAGAGACCGACACAGAGACTGGGAGAGAGAGAGAGAGAGAGAGAGACCGACACAGAGACTGAGAGAGAGAGAGAGAGAGAGAGAGAGAGAGAGAGAGAGAGACCTTCACAGAGACTGGGAGA